CCCTCGGAACGCCGGGACACGCCTGGGCTGCTCGCTGCCCCCACAGCCGGGACCCGGGCTCTCGGGAGGATGCCGAGCTCTGTATCGGCTCCTACGGACCAACTCCACAGCAGGACCGAACACAGCTTCCTGAGAGAAGCGGCTTTGTTCAAAGAGAAATAAGACAAAAGCACTCTGTTTACCCCAAACAGCAGAGTTAGTCCACATTAACCTCTACTACTGTCTCGCCAAGGTGGGGTGATACCACAGGTCAAGTGAACTCACAAAATGTACAGGAAACCCTCTTCCCAATTGAGGAACAGTTACAGAGATCAACAGAGGTGCAAAACCCAGGCACCAAATCACACCACCTTTAGATACACGGGTTCGGTTTTAGAAGTGGAAAAAGTTATCAGTGTGCATTGTTTAATGACAGTACCTGGAAAAAGACAGCCCACACTCAGCCGAGACCTGCTAAGTCTCTCTAAATCCACATCACAATTGGATTAAACTAACTGCAGTGAGAATTAAGTACATTGCCTCACCCTTCACTAACAACTAAAAATAGAACGCAGGTAAGATGCCAGACAAATTCCTGGTTCAAACAAGAAATACGCAAGATAGCAATGCATTGGTGCAGACACACCTAGGCTGCACATGAAGAAATCAGGAACAAAATTACAGTGAGTAATGTGCATGATCCCAGCATGCTTAAGGGCAGCAGAGGCTGGTGGGATTTGTGCATGGAAATGGGATGGTTACTGCAGGGGGTTTACCTTCAGCGCAGAAGCAGAGCAGCCACAACAAGAGCCTTTCCACCACCCAGACTCTGCAGTTCAGGAACAAACGGTTCATCTCACTGTCCTGCCTTGGAATGCTCCAAAGATGATATATCATGTGTTATCAACCTTATCTGGACCACCCTGCCCCCTCTTTCATCTCTGGTGTCCTCAGTCTGTTTTCTCAAGATCGGCCTCAGTATTAGTTTCTTGCCAGTTACCACAACCATCTGGAACTCATCTCTGTCTCCTTAGACTCTGCTTTGGCTGTCAGGAGATGTAACCAAACACTGACATGTGCAGAGTCTTTCTGCTCAGAGTATTTTTGCCTCACCTGTGTGAGTTAAGCTCTCAACAATCCACCTTTTCCAAATCCCAGCAAATGCCTATGAATCACGGCACAATTAACATGGCAACAAAGCACCATTCTTAGCCAGGCATTGCTGTAAGTCCAGTAGTGCAACACTTTACAACACCTGGAAAACACACCTAATCCATGGTAATTTATGGCTTCTAGGACTACCTGAAGGACCTGCTCAGCTTTCATGAAACAGAATGAGTATGACACAGAAAGTGGAGGCCATCCCACAGAGGCTGAGGTCTTGTGCAGCCCTGCTGTTCCTGCTGGGCTGTGTGGTCTGTCACACCCCAAACCCTGGACAGAGCCATGGCAGAGGCTGTCACACTAGCCAGACTGAGGGAAGAGGAAACAATTACATCCAACTTCTTCATAATAATCAAAATACCTTAATCCATTGTCTACCTGTGAGGACATTAGAATTTAATTTTATCAATGTTCATGGTTGCAATTTTATGAGATTTTGTCAGCATAAACAGCAAACCATTCCTGTGCTGCACCCCTGGGCATACAAAAGCCAATGTGGGTATTAACCAGCTTAGTCCAATTAAAGGACCCTAATGCAACTCTGTTAAGGCCCTGATTTGTTAGGCTTGACTACATTTCCAAAAGAGCACAATTGGGTGGATTTGTTATCTAAAGCATAAGCTCCAAGCCCTTAGTCATCCTTGCTAAAGCCTTGCCCAAACTGGTCATGGTTTGTGCTACCCCCGCACCGCTGCCACCCAACGTCACCATAATCTGCTCTTTAACATAGCATTAAAAGCAGAGCCAGAGGACACAGCTGCTTTCCTTGCTGTAACACTCATTATGGGAGATTTAAGGACAGCATAACAGCAAGGCTTCTATTCTCAGCCTGAAGCAGGAACCTTGGCAAGCCGGAAATGCATGCCATGGAAATGGGGCAGCAGTGGGCAAGCTGGATTAGAGGAAAAAGGAAAAAGTAGGTTGGGGTACTCAGGAGAACCTCCTTGTCCACTTGTTCTGCACCTTTCTCTACACTTGGCATAAACCAATCCTACACATCTTTGTACAAAAGTTCAGAGAGAATCATATAGCAGAGTACCTTGGCAAAAGTCTGCTTTTCACTCAAAGAACAATGTACACTCGCAGGAGTTTCACAATCTTTCCTCACACAGGGCTTAAAATAATCCTAATACTGCAGATTGGATACTGGGGACGTGTGACAGCCTGTAAATATCAGTGGTACAAATAAAGCCATTCCTCTCTCCTGTCACATGCACGCTGTGACTGCCACAGAGGACAGAGCCTCACCTTCCCTCCTCACTGTCCTGGAACCACTGGGCACAAATCTATTTTACTGAACTGAACAATGGAAGCCAACAGCATCAGTCATGATTATTTCCCCAGCTTTATCCTCCAAGGGCCATTAGGCACAACATTACACTTAGCAGTCCATACTAACAGTGGCTGCAGGCTTGGGAAGTTGGGTAAATAAAGAAAAAACCTTCCGGTTCCACTCAAAAACTGTGCCAAATCTGAGTGCTTCCATACACTCTCCTGTTTTCTGACACTGCTGAAAAGTGTCAGGAATATTTTTTACTCCATAAGTTTTGGAATTTCAAGCCTCCAGACTCGCAGGCCAATTCTGTGCACTGAAATGTTTAAACACATTTTGGTGCTGTAATGCTCAAGGGTTCCCCAGAGTCCAATCTCTAACTGGAAATTGGCTCTGTCCTGCTGCCCTGAACAGGCACTGTCCCCACTCTCCCATCAGCCCACTAGATGTCCCTTCTGCACTGCCAAAGTCACCAAAGGCCCCTGTGGGAAAGAAATGAACGTTCCAGCAGCCCCGGAGAGCAGAGCAACTGGACCCATCCTGCAGTGCTGCAGAACTGTGCCAGCAGCACCCTGGACATGCAAGGCCTATTGCAACACCCCCCAGTGCAGCGGCCAAGGCACAGCTTGGGCTGCGAGCCAAAGCTTTAAAGTTGCTATTAAAACCTGGCAAAATCACACAAAATGTCCAGTCTTGAGGCATCCTAATTACATGTTTTAGACACAATAAATTTAGTTTCCTATCACTACCAATCAGAACCAAGCAAATCACGCTGCCTGATTAACACCAGAGCCCTGAGCCTGGGCAGTCCTGGGCAATGGCAGTGGGAAGGAAAAGTGGGCTCAGGGCACGGCAGGAGGGTCCTTGTCTGGGCACTGGCACGGGTGTGCAGAGGTCTGGCACAGCCTCACTTTCCTGCAGCATGATCATCAGCTTCAGATAAAACTGCAGTGCTGAGGAAGAGGAGGGGGGCAGCCCAGAGGACAAGGGCAGAATGAACATGTTGGCCTGAGGTCTGAAATCACCTCCTCTGCCTTGCAGCCCCGGCTGCTTGTTCAGAGATCTTCCTGACACTCCTCATTCCAAAAAAGAGCTAATTGTAAGGACCATAACAAAGATATGCAGCATGTGCAGATAAACCATTCAAACAGACCCAGACGAGGCTGTGGTAAAGACAGGGCCACACTCCTGCCAAGCTCTCTCGAGGAAGTCCAGAAGTCAGGCTCTGAGCATGGGTGCACCCTTTGATCTACAGAGACCCCGCTGGCTGCTGCAGGTCAGCCTCGTGCCCTTTGATCCCTTCCCTGCTTACAGACAGCTGCCTGCCGGAGGTGAATCCCTTCCCAGGGGCCTCTCTGGCAAGGGGAGGACGGGAATGTTGATCACCTAACGGGAGACAGCCAAAACAGCGTAAAAGGGGTCTCAGGCAAGATGTTCTGCAGTAAAATGTTCCAGCAGGAAGGATGTGCCCAACACATTGCCAGGGTCCGAGGGTGTTTTGAGAGGCCTTTTTGCTGCTGTTTGTGGCGTTGGTAAACAGCCGCCTCCCGGCGGGGCTCAGGGAGGGAAGTGCGGCGCCGCTGGAGGGCAGGTCTGTGCTCCCAGCCCCAGGCCCGCAGAGGTTGGATCAGCAGCGTTTGCTGCAGAGCTCCGCATTGCCAGAGCCCCGGAGCCGGGCTGGGCTGCAGGGGAAAACCGAAGGGACCGACACTCGAGGCTGCCCTGCAGCACAGCCCGGCCGAAGGAACCTCCTCCTGCTCAAGTTTGTATTCCGGGAAGGCCAAACAGGGGAGTGGGAGAACAGGGAATTTTGGACCTGAAAAACAAACACATCCAGCTGCACCGTGTGAGCTCTGAAGATGAGCGTAGCCTCCAAATCCTGTCTGACATCTATCTTTGCCATGGAAATTGCACCTTTGGATTCTGCATAAAATCGGCAAGTTTTGCCTCATTTTCCTTCCAGCTGCCATGTCTGCTTTTCCTCACAGGCTTCACACACACTCTGCTCAGTAATAAGGCCTCTGGGAAAACTGGACATTGTCACAACAGTAGGTGGCAGGAACTAAAATGGATGCAGATCACAAATGTGCCAAATGTTGAGGAATGAGTAATGTTCTCCAAGATGCCAAAGATGTGGGGCTCACTTTTGTGTATTTGCACCTTAATGAGCACCAAACACCTCTATTATCTCCAAATCTAACCCAGTCAACTAAAGACAGATTTTTCAGCATAAAGGCAAGGGACAACTAGAAAGAAACAGTCCCACATTCAGTTTCCTGACTCAAAGGTGGGGATATTGTCCAGTACTTTCAGTATTTGGGCTGGCACACTACTGCCTTTCTAGGGAATACTGGAAATAT